TGTGCTACCTTTAAAATAATGTCTGTCTTCTGAAAGGCTTTGAGGGGTAAACTGTGTCTGTACACTCATGCCACCAGGGGGCACCGTCGAGGCCAATAATCAAGGAAGGGGCTCCATCCTCAAGCCAACCTGGTCACAGATTCAGTTCCCAGTCTGCGTCTGTGTTCTCGGCCCGTTCACAGAGTTGACAGCAATTTGAAAAGACTTTAAAGACACTTTTGCAGATTCCCGTGGTTTTAGCTGACCGGTCTTGATTTTGTCTTTATAGCATCATTTTGTTATTTTTTTCTGAGTAGGAGTCTCACTCTGTCGCCCAGGCTGGAGTGCAGTGGCACGCTCACGGCCACCTCAGCCTCGACCTGCTGGGCTCAGGCTGGCCTCATCCTTCCAAGTAGCTGGAATTACAGGTGTGCACCACCATGCCCGGCTAACTTTTTGATTTATTGTCGTGACGAGGTCTCACCAAGTTGCCCAGGCTGACCTCGAACCCTTGGGCTCAGGCAGTCCTCTCACTTCTGCCTCCCAAAGTGCTGGGATTACAGGCGTGAACCACCATGCCCAGCTATGGCATCATTTTAAGAAACGCATAGTTTGTGGCAGAGGATGGGGGTGGGGGCAGGAAGGCTGGGCACCTAGGGTGGGAGAGGGGGACTAAGGAGCAGAGAGCTGGGAGACATTCATCATCATAATTGATCCTTTTTTGTGAGAGAGATGGGGGAGATGAGGGTCTCACTATGTTGGCCAGGTTGGTCTCCAACTCCTGGCCTCAAGTGATCCTCCCACCTTGGCCTTCCACAGTGCTGGGATTATGGCCTCTCTTGCATATTGTGGCCTGGTCCACTCTGATCTCATTGACTTTCCGCCTCCCTTTCCTCTACTTTCTTCTTGGCACCTGCTTGTGGCTAAGTCACAAGGCCTCACAGAATCTGTTCTACCGGGGTGCTAACGGGTCCCTCCTGTAAATGAGTGAGCTATGGTACTTGGGCGCTTAGCACAGGCCTGGCCTGTGGCATGGACACAGTGTTGTGTTACTTCTGCTCTGCAGGACCTTTGCTCCAGCCCAGTAGATTCCTTTAGTTTTATCAGACACACTTGGTCCCTTCTTTTCTTTTCTTTTCTTTTTTTTTTTGAGTCAAAGTCTCACTCTGTCACCCAGGCTGGAGTGTAGTGGCACGCTCATGGCCACCACAGCATTGACCTGCTGGGTTCTGGCGAACCTTCCACCTCAGCCTTCCAAGCAGCTGGAACGACAGGTGTGCATCACCACGGCTGGCTAATTTTATGATTTATTGTAGAGACGAGGTCTCACCATGCTGTTCAGGTTGGTCTCAAACTCCTGAGCTCAGGCAATTCTCTTGCCTCTGCCTCCCAAAGTGCTGGGATTATAGGCATGAGACACCGTGCCCTGCTCACTTGGTGCCTTCTCCCCTCTGGGTCTGCTTCTCTTCTCTGCCTGCAACGCCTGGCTTTGGATGGCACCTTCTTTGTGCCTTTCCTGGCCCCTTCAGCTGAGGAAGATTTCCCAACCCTTGGCGGTCCTGGGGTTTTGACCAAGCCAGCGACAGCATGGGTCCCTTCCTGGCCTGTGTCAAGGGTGGGTGCTGGGCTTACCCTCTCTCTCAGGCGCCCTGAGCGCAGGGTGTCTGCCTGACTCACCTATGCATGTCCTGTGGGTGCCTGCATACACCAGGCACCCAGTAATCTCAGCCAAATTAGTGAACTGTGAACATACAGGTCAGCTAGTGGAAAGCACAGGGCCCAGGTACCCTGTGGGGTTCTTGAAGAGGATTCTTGGGAATCTCTGCATCTGTTTCTTCAACTATCATCTGGAGATACGTTCTTGATGAATTCAGCCCTGAGATTGGAGGGGGACCCAAAAAACTCCGTAACTGACTGGGTGTGGTGGCTCATGCCTATAATCCCAGCGCTTTGGGAGGCCAAGGTGAGAGACTGCCTGAGTTCAAGAAGAGCCTGGGCAACTTGGTGAGACCTCATCTCTACAATAAATTAAAACAAATTAGCCAGGTGTGGTGGCGTGTGCCTGTAGTTCCAGCTACTTGGAAGGCTGAGGTAGAAGCATCACCTGAGCCCACCAGTTCAAGACTGAGGTGGCCGCGAGCATGCCACTGCACTCCAGCCTGGGCGACAGAGTGAGACTCCAACTCAAAAAAAACCCCCAGACAAACAAAAAAACTCCATAATTATCTTTTGGAGGGCGGGTCCCTTGTAGTATGCTCAGAATTTGTTCCTCTGGATTAAATGGTCAACCAAAGTTTTGTTTTGTTTTTTTTTCTTTTTTGAGTTGGAGTCTCACTCTGTCACCCTGGAGCCACTCCCGGCCACTGCAGCCTCGACCTGCTGGGCTCTGGCTATCCTTCCGCCTCAGCCTTCCAAGTAGCCGGAACTACAGGCGTGCGCCACCATACCCGGCTGATTTTTTGATTTATTGTAGAGATGAGGTCTCGCTGCCCAGGCGGGTCTCGAACCCGTGGGCTCAGTCAATCCACTCACCTCAGCCTCCCAAAGGTGCGGGATGACAGGCTGAGCCACCGAGCCCGGCTCAACCAAAGTTTTTATCTGGAAGTTTTGAGAAGGTTGGGTCACAATACGCAGAAGAAACGTCACAAGTTGTGGCAAACAGGTGACTAGTTCTTCCATCTGCCCACACTGTGCTGAGTGTTAAACAGTTTTTGACCAAAATGGCATGGCCCCTGTGCCCCATCCTCCCTATTCACCCAATCTTGCCCCGAGCAACTTTTTTTTGTTTTCCCGGATGAAAAAAGTCCTCAAAGAGAAACGTTTTCCTGCTGTGAAGGAAGTGAAACAAAAAACAACAGAAGCACTAAAAGGCATCAAAATCGCTGAGTTCAAAAACTGTTTTGAGCAGTGGAAAAAGCATCTTGGTGGGTGTATTACATCAAATGGAGAGTGCTTTGAAAATGACTGAAGCTTAAACATGTAAGAATAAACATACAATTTTTCATAAATACATTCTGAGTTTTTTTGGGGGCCCCTCGTATGCCCAAATCATACTGGCTGGATGAAGGTGCTCACCGACTTCCTTAGTTCCACTCTCACAGATGTTTTTGTTGGCTCCGGATAGTGGATTTGACAAATGGTGATGGTTCAACTTAGAATAATTCCATCCTAGACTTGGTCCTTACAAAGCACAGGGCCTGGCTGTGAGTTCACGACCCCCAGTGTTGGGGGATTCTCTCTCCTGTGGATTCCACCCCCAGCCGTGGTCTTCTGTGGGTTTAGCTCTACAAGTTCCCCTTTTGCTTTAGTCAAATTCTACTGATCTCAAAGTGTCACTCAAATATTTTGAACAATGCCAGTATAATACTTGCGGCCTTGGAGCCAAGTGCTAAATTCTTTTGTGTTCATTAGACAGGTAAGTTTTGTTGGATCTTGTAGCGGGAGGGTTCCTGCCTCTGGGGCTAGGATCATTTCTATGGCTTGAATGTCCCCTCCAAAACTCATGTAGAAATCTGCTATTGTGACAGATTGGGAGGTGGGGCCTTGAAGAAGTGATGAGAGGCCCTTGCGGTGGCACATGCCTGTAACCCCAGCACCCAGTGCTTTGGGAGGACAGGATTCAAACCACTCGGCACTTTGGGAGCCTATAAGCCACATGGAAACCCTGTCTCTACAAAACCAAAGAGGTGACCAGGTCACCAGGGGCCCTGCCTCAGGATTAATGAAATGTTTGGTCCTCATCTTCCTGCCATGAAACAGCAAGAAGGCCTTGCCAGATGCCAGCACTATGCCCTTGGACTCGCTGGCCTCCAGAACCGTGAGCCTTTTCTGTATATATCACCCTGTCTGTGGTATTCCAGGTCATCCTCCAGTTTCAGGACAGTTGTCTGGCTTAGCCTCACCAGCCCCCTCTGCACCTCACCTCTCGTCTCCCAATCTGGCCTCCATTCCAACTCCCCAAGTCTGACATTTGTCTACAAAACGGATGGTAATACACTTAGTAGTCATGCATCACCTAACAATGGGGACTTGGTTTGAGAAATGTTAGGCAATTTCATCATTGTGTAAAGATCAGTGTGTTCACACACACCTAGGCCACAAACCTGTATAGCATGTGACCGTATTTGTACAGTACTAGAGGCAACTGTAACACAGTATTACTGTACCTCAACAGGAAAGGTAAGAATATTGCATGTTACTACTGTTGAGGCCTGTGAGCGCACAACTGTGTTTAGATTCTTGAGCTGGGAGAATACATTTGCCTTTTTGTCTTTTAGTCTCACTCTGCTGCCCAGGCTGGAGTGCAGTGGCATGCTCATGGCCACTGCAGCCTGGACCTGCTGGACTCAGATGATCCTTCCACCTCAGCCTCCTAAGCAGATGGAACCACAGGCATGTGCTACCACACCCAGCTAATTTTTTGATTTATTGTAGAGACGTGGTCTTACCATGTTACTCAGGCTGTACTTTGCCTTTTAAATTAATGGACTCAGGAACAGACCGTGAAGTATTTTGTCGTCTTTTCTCTGAGATGGCCCTACACCGGTTAATTTCAGCTTCTCAAGTACTTTAGTCACTAAACCTTTTATAGTACTACAAACCCTCTGTCTGGAGAAATACACATACTCCTGGGTACTTGTGGTCTTGGATTAAGTCCCACAGATGGTACTTTTGTCACAGCCCCTGGATCTTCTCGTCACCATGACCTTAAACCAAGATCCTGCTATTGAGGGAGTTCAAAGGTTGCTAACCTGTCATGCCACCACAGCTAAGGACTTTGACAGGCTTGCAACCATTGTTTCCTTCAGGCTGTTGGCCAGTTACCTCAACCATGCACACCTTCTTCCAGGACACTGATTACTATGCAATAGCCACGTGTGAGGGACAAGCTCATCAAAATTTCTTGGCCAAGTTCAGGTCACTGCTGAGAGCTGTGGGTAGCATACCCTCCACTGCCTGCTCCTGTGGTTCCTTCATACACACAATGTTGACTGTATAGAAAGTAGAATCTGCAAGTCAGATGTTTCTGAAAACAAGTTTTATTTAAATAAGGGTTTAAATACATTACACATAACATTAAGACTGAAGGGAAAAGAATCCAAAAACCAGTTTGTTACTTCACATGGCATCAGGCGTGACCCACATCGGTTTCAGGTTTGTTCCCTTGTCAAAAGTTTAACTGAGAGAAGGCTGGCCTCACATTCTGGTGTTAGGACATCCCTCAGCTAGGTATGTCTGGTCAGGAAGACCTTTGTGGCAAGGGAGACATGCTATCACCCTGCTGGAGGGAAGGGGGCCACTCTGAGCTCTGACTGCCTGGCCGGGATGGAGAGAAGACCAGGCATCTTTCTTCCGCAGCCAAAGGCTCCCTCTAGGGGCAAAGCCTCACCTCATCCTCTCCTGTTCACCGAGGCTCCTTCTGGTGGTGACAATCTTTCAGGGCAGGGATCTCTCCAGAGGGAAAGCTGAGGAGCTTCTGGCCAGACATAGCTGTCTGTGATCTTAGGGCTCTGGGCTTGGTTGAAACATCACATTATTGCTTTGTTTCAAGCTTGACCCTGCCAGGCACCTACTGCTTGACCTGTTTAAATGAGGGACTTCCAGACTAGACAGCATGGCTCTTTTCAGTTTATTGCATGAAGGAGTTACACTAGTTCAGGTTAAAAGCAGACCCCAAATGGTTACATTATACAAGCTGTGAGGTTTTTAAACTTGTGACAAGGGACAGAAGGGAAATTCTACTCATTGCAAGGAAATCCTCACTTAAGCTTCAGTGAGCCACAAGCACTTAAAACCCATGAACCTTCAGTTGATCGTCCTTAGCCAATCCAATCTGCAAAGACAAAAGAGTACAGTTTTAAAGAAGGAACAAGGAGAGTTAAAGTCTCCATTTCTGATGGCAACAATCCTGTCTTCCTGGTACTACACCGGGCAAGGGAAACCCAGGGCCAAGGCACAAACCTCAACATGGAGTTATTCAACTTAGGGTACCCCTTGAAGAACTACCTTTCTGAACATCCGGTACCTTCCACGATTCTGAATTAAGCAAGTATAAGGATGAGGACCATCAGGCTACCTGAAACCTCGAACCAATGATATAACGGGATTTTAATACTTAGAATTTAGAAACTCATGATGGGGGAAAAAAAACTGCACGCCCCAGGAACAACCTACCACCTGGCTTATTTAGTTTGCCTATGTGCTATGTAAATCTGCACCCAAAAGTAGATCCAATCAAACAGTAAGCCTAAGGAAGTCAAGTCCCTCCAGGTTTCAGAAATACAACTGATTTATTTACATATTTCAAAACTCAACTGTTGTTCTGCTTAGTCTATAAGCCAAACTTCTACATTCCCAGCAGAATCTAAATAGAGCAGGCAGGACGTGAGAGGCACAAACGGAATCAAGAAGTGACTAGAAGTGCCCGAGCTCACCTCTACGAGGAACTGGCATATGTTCTTGCGCTGGTCACCCTGTAGCTGAATTACTTCTCCATATTCTGGATGCTCAATTACAGTACCATTGCAGGCAAATTTCTGCAAGCACAAAGGAGGCCAAACAAATTAGGCCAAGCAACAGCCACGAATTGCATTTCCCGATCGCTTCCGGTAAACAAGACTAGTGCCAGCACCCCCTCGTGGACAATTAAATGCCATCACCCTACAGCGTCAGGGGAGACTTACCTTCTTAAACGCCTTCACTAGTTTCTTTTTATCGTAATCATCAGCGATCCCTTGGACAGTAGTAAGGGTCTTCCTGCCGTTCCTCTGTTGAATTCTTATATGGATATAATCCTCAGTGCCAGCAGGAAGCAGGTCATCACCCTTACTTGCATCAGCAAAGGGGTCTGGAAGAAAGGCAGAGCCCGTTCAGAGCTGTCAAGGCTCCGAAGCCACCCTCTCTGTATCTTTTGGGCGTGCAAAAGCCAATACCGAGATCGGCAGAACTCTGGTCAGTCCGAATGGGTCCCTTGTTGGCTCTCACCGAACAGGTCAGTCCGGGACGCCCAGCTTCCCCAGACGCAGAGAAAGACGAGGCCTCCCTCCCTCGGAGCCGGTCACATGTCGGGGGAGCCCGGGCTGGCAGGCGACGCCCCACCCGGCTGATGCAACCCGCCGGAAGCAGCGCTCTCGGGGCGGGGCCAAGCCTCCCGTCCCCATTGGTGCACACACTTGCCAGTTAGGGCTGGCACCGCCCTCCCCTCCGGCTCCGGCAAAGGTCGGTGACGTAGCGGACGTGACGTAGGGACGGCGGGAGGGGGCAGGCGTGGCCCAAAGAGGTCCGGGAGCCATTAGTAAATGCGCCACCCGAGAAGCCGGCCCCGCCCAAGGGCTGACCTCCCGCCCGCTGCTTCCGGTCGCGCTTGGGCCCGACCTCAAAGCTAGGCCTCGATCCCGAGGACCCGTACATGTCTCCTCCGCCCGAGTTCACGGCAGGCCGGCCGGAAGCACTTGGCAGTTTCCCCGGCCCCGTCCTCGGGCCCACAGCGACCTGCTAGCCCACCCGGGCCGGCGACTTTTCCCGTGGCTCACCGAAAGAGTGGAGGTTCTGGATAGCGGACATACGATACGATTCCTTTTCCTCGGTGGAAACGGCCTGCGGAAGGCGGCGGCGGGAGAAGGCGGGCAGGGGGGACGGAGCGTCGGGAAGCGAGGGGGCTCAAGGGGGAGGTTGCAGCGTCCTCGGTGGCGGCTCAGTGACTGGGGCGGAGGGGCGGTGCCTGTATTCACTTATATAGTCTCCCTGTGACGTCACCGCGCTGCCCTTACGTCCCTGTCTCACCCGCGGCGACGTGCCCTGAACGCCCAGGCGCCGCCGCTCCCATTGGTCCGGGGACGGGGGGCACAGAGCGGCGCCTGCGCAGAAACCCTGCTGCGAGAGGGCGTCCTCTTGACTTGAGGAGAGATGGGAGGGGGAGGGAAAGCTTGATCTGTCTGGGAGCCTGCGCAGTGCGCGTGGAGGGTGTCTGAAACTGGCAGAGGTTACGAGCGCGCCTGCGCATTAAATGTTTGGGTACGTTCCATCTTCTTGACCCTGTCGCTGCCCTACCTGCTCGAAAAGGGGTTTTTATAGGGTAGGACTGACTTTCCTTGCGAGAGGTGTAGATGCTGAGCCTGCCAGACACAACAGATCTCCGCTATGTGAGACCCACCTATCTCCCCCCACCGTCTTACCCAGTCACAGGATTTAGGGCGACACTTTGATTAATCAAAACTGTAACCTCCCAATTTAGATGATCATAAATCTATTCTAAAATGGGTTAATCTAATCTAAAAATTCTCATTCAGATTCGATTCTTCCATCTAAGGAAAGAATGTGCCCTACTCATTAGCATGGATTCAAGGGACGGTAACTGGTTCTGCCTTCCCCCTGCCCCCAGAAGAAGTCAAGCACTGTCTGTCGTGTCGCTCAAGTTGTGTGGAGTAGAGCCTTCCAAGAACTCTGATAAAATATGTCCTTAAAACCAGTTAACCTTTTTTGTCTAATTTAACTACTGCACACTTAGCTACAGGAGTAGAGTGGTGACAAGAGATCAGGGGTTTTAGACTCAAAGGCTCCCAAGTCCAGGCAGGTGAGATCAAGGGAGCAGACAGCCAGGTGTGATGTAACAGGGTGAAGGGGGGCTGGCCTGAGAACTAGGGGCTGCAGGGGCTACTCATCTCCAGCCGGTTGTGCTGTATCTTCTTTTTTCAAGAGACTCAAAATATTTACATAAAACGTCTTGATTTTTATTTTATTTTTTAATTTTTATTTTTTTTGAGTTGGAGTCTCACTCTGTCACCCAGACTGGAGTGCAGTGGCTGCTCCCGGCCACCACAACCTTGACCTGCTGGACTCGGGTGATCCTTCTGCCTCAGCCCTCCAAGTGGGTGGAACTACAGGCACGTGCTACACGCCCAGCTAATTTTTTTTGATTTATTGTAGAGATGAGGTCTCGACAAGTTGCCTAGGCGGGTCTCAAACCCGCGGGCTCAGGCAATCCACTCACCTCAGCCTCCCAAAGTGTGGGATTACAGGCTGAGCCACCAAACCTGGCAAATGTCTTGATTTTTAAAACATTGTCAATAAATTGAATTTTTGGAAAAACACTGTGCAAGTCAAAAAAAAAATGTGTGTCCCATGGAGTACTGTTTGATGCCCCAGGCAGTCAGAGTTACTGCCCTCCTGGAGGTGAAGGGAGAGACAATAAATAAATAAGATAGTGGCAGATCGTGGGTGGCACCAAGGAGGAGATAAACAAGGCGATGTGACAGAGTGACAGTGCCAGCCTCCTTCTGCTGATACATTGGCCAGAGAAGGCCTCTGAGGAGGTGACATCCCAGCAGACATTTAGAAGGTGAGAAGGAGTCCACTATGGGGTAGGGAAGGGCCTACTAGAAGGAAAATCCCTGAGGGAGGAAAAGCTGGGTGTACCCCATAGTTCGTTTTGATTCTATGTTTGCTAAGTAATCATGTGATGAATAATTTGGTTTCCTGGACATCAGGAAAGGGGAGACATGGCTAGAAGTCATGGGCATTCCAGTCTCATGGTCACCCCAGCTTGAGAAGTGAGGACCCAACTTGCCAACTGTGGAACCTTTATACTCACAGACATGATTCTGCTGGAAAGGGTTCGGGGAGAGGGTGTGAATGAGAGCTGTCCTTCCCAGTGTGCACAAAATATTTTGTTATATGAAAATTTAAAATCACAATGAGGACCAATTTAGCAATCTTGCCTTTTAGGAAAACACCTTGTCTGTGTCATTAAAGAATTCCTTTACAACAGTGGTCCCCAGCCATGTTGGCATCAGGGATCAGTTTTGTGGAAGACAATTTTTCCACAGACTGGAGGTGGAGGGGTGAAATGGTTTCAGGATATTCAAGCGCATAGCATTTATTGTGCACTTCATTTCTATTGTTATTGCATTGTAATATATATAATTAAATAATTATATAACTCACCACAAAAAAAAGAGGTGCAAACAGAAGTGGTGAATGAAATATTGGGTGGTCCATGTGTGAACTAAAATAAATGTTGGATTCTGACTTAAGGCCTGCCACCAGATGCAGCTGTATCAACTGCACCAATTGCAGTGCATCAACTTACTCGCTGATAGGATTTTGATATGAGTCTGTAAACAACTGATTTATTATTGTCTCTGTGCAGTCAAACCTCACTGCTAATGTCAGTCTGTATTTGCAGCCACTCCCCAGTGCTTCATCACTGCCTCAGCTCCACCTCAGATCATTGTCATCAGGCATTAGATTTTCAGAAGGAGCGAGCAACCTCAACCCCTCACATGCACAGTTCACAACAGGGTTCTCACTCCCGTGAGAATCTAACTGCCAAGTGATTGGGAGTGGCTGTAAGTACAGATGAAGCTTGCCTGCCACTCACCCCCTGCTGTGCATCCCAGTTCCTAACAGGGCATGTGCTGGTACTGGTCCATAGCCCGAGGGTTGGGGACCCCTGCTTTACAGGGGTCTAATTTTTTTTCCCTATATGGATAGTCAACTGCCCTAGCACCATTTATTGAATAACACACCCTTTCCCCCACAGATTGATCATGCCTTCTCTATCATAATGATGTTTTCATATATATGTGTGTTTATTTCTGGAGTCTCTGTTATGTATGGGGGTGCCAAAAAAATGTATACACATTTAAAATATGACGTTCATTCCAAAGGTGGTGTTAACGAATGCTAGCGCCGCCATGTGATAGGCAGGACAGTAAAAGAAAAAATGGCAGAAGCACATCACACTACACATTGCTACCGTAATTTAATTCAACGTCGAAAAGTAATATGTAGATAACATATATCTTAAAGTGTGTATACATTTTTTGGCACCCCTGGTACATGTGTATTATATATATATTTTAGAGATGGGATCTCCCTCTGTTGCCAAGCTCGAGTGCAGTGGCACAGTCATGATCCATGGGCTCCAGGAATCTTCTTGCCTCAGCCTCCCAAGTTGCTGGAACTAAGGCACTCACACCCACATCTGGCTAATTTTTAAAATTTTTTGTAGAGATGGGAGTCTTGCCCAGACTGGTCTTGAACTCCTGATCTCAAGCAATCCTCATGCCTCGGCCTCCCAAAGAGCTGGGATCACAGGTATGAGCCACTGCATACAACCTAGAGTCTCTGTTCAGTCCCAGTGATCTATCTTTATGCCACACTCTCTTACTAGAGGAGCTTTACAAAAAAATCTTGATGTTTAGCGGAACGAGTCCCTCCACTTTGTTCTTCAGAATTCTCTTGGCTGCTCTTGGAAAGTACATTGGCATGAGCCAATGTACCTGGCCTATACCAAGCACCTTCTAAGTGCAGATGCTGTATGACTTGCACAGGTTGCATGCCCTTGACTCTGGCTCTGCCTCTTGTATTTGTTCTTCCTGCTGGGCTGTGAGGTCAAAGAACAGGGTGCATGCCTGTCTTCTCCTTATGTGAGGTAGGTGCATTCAGTTACTAGGAATGGCCGACCCCAGGCTCCAGGCTGAAACCTCTGTCACTCCCTTGAGAGTTGTGGGACAGGTGGTTGAGAAAAATCTCTTTTCAGAAATCTGACTCTGGGCTCCAAAGAGTGTTGCAGCCTCCTGGCAGGGAGGAAAGATGGTTGTGGCCAAACTGCATCGCGGCTCCTACTACAGGGACCTGCCAGCCGGTGCCCAGTGCCAGACCCGACCTCGGTGCACTCAAAACAGTGATTGCCACAAATACACACAAACACACACACACACACACACACACACACACACACACACACACACACACACACATGCGTGAGCACATTTGGCCCTGGGTGGGATGCAGGGGAGACGGCAGGCCAGTGGCAGGTGTCCAGAGGCAGGTGAATCAGTTCTCCAGTTGTCACTAGCTTCCTGGGTGTGACCCAGTTTACCTCTCCGGGCTTCAGTCTTATGCCCCTCAAAAGGAGGACTGGGTGATTTCTCCCCAGATCTAAAGTCCGAAGCTCTGTGCTCCCAAGTTAGAAACATTTCCGAGGAGTGTCTCCTGGAGTCCACCGTCCAGTGTAGGAGGCTGTCCAGGCCCCACAAACTCATGGAATCATCACTGAACCAGGATGAACTTGTTTGAAAGTGACACGCATGCCTGCTGTTAACACTGGCTTCCTCCTTACTGCACTCCTGGTCCTGAGAGGCCGTCAGTTGGGCAGCCAAGGACAGGGTACAAAGCTCTGGCTCTGGAGTGGCTGAGTCTGTTTCTCTATGCCTGGGTGGCTCAGCCCCACCCAGTCTTCATTTTCTTCTCTGTACAACAGGGACAATGACTCCCTTCTTTTAGACTGTGAAGGGGGATTTAAGGAGGAGAATACATGTGGTAGGATAAAAAAATGTAAAGCTGTGAACTCCCAAAATAGATTATGCCAGTTTCACTGAGGGAAAGGGGAGAGAGAGCCTCTGAGTGCTGCAGGGGACAAGAACAGTCCCTTTAGAATGGAGACGAGACAGAGTTGGGCACTTCTCCAAGGTGATCTCCTTGGGATCTAACAAGAGCATGGCTGCATGGGATACCTTGGGACCCCTGGCATCATAAGGTTCCCCAGGGCCCCAAACGGGGCACAGAAGCAGCAGCATCTCCCACCAGGAAGGGATGCATCCTCTGGAGAAATAGACATCTCCATGGTAACCAGGGCAGAGGGATGATCTGGTTCAAGGCCCCCACCCCTGCCCCAGCTCTGGTGCTCCAGAAAACACTGACTGTGACCAAGAGAGACTCCCTGGGAGGGCTGGAGCCCCTGTCGTATCCAAGATTGGATTTCTGAGCAACCTGGTGGGATGTTAATTGGCAATG